ATAATATGTGAAAGAAAGAGAGTGAAGGACAAAAATCAAGTCATTTGAAATGTAATTAAATGTAGAGAGGCTGGCCTACAGATACCACAGACAGCCAGAAATGCAGAAAGTGGGTGCTCAACTAAATCATGCCTGAATTCCCACTAGAGCAAACTGAGACCATATTACCATGCACACATTATGACAATGCAGAACTGACTAGAAGATACAATATTGCTGGGAAAAATTGAGTTGGGGGGCAGTAGGAAGACAAGAAGATTTAACATAAGGCAGATTGTCTCAATGAAGGAAGCCACAGCTGTTAGTTTTCAAGATGAGAACAAAAGTTACTGCAAAAGACAATTTTGCTAGGAAGAGAGGACAGTAACAAGAGAGAATACTTTAACCTGAGATGGTGATGGTTTGCAAGCTCTGAGCAGAGCTGTTAATTATATGATATTCTGGACGTTATCAACACAGCACACCTTTGGAGGTGATTCCTTAATATCAGACAATTGCATAGCGACATGTGGAATGATTGAAATTATGACAAAATACAGGCACCAAATCTCTACTAACATCGTGTATAACCATCCCCAGCCATGAAGCAAAAACAGTGATTTCACAGTTTAAACAAATGAGCTTCTGAATATTTTTTTCTCTATTCTTTTAAAAATACGTTCTCAGTATTTTTCCAAATAGATACAGAATCCCTTTGTGATGCTTGTTTGGCCAGGAAGGAGTTTAAAAAGTTATCTTCATGTGAATCAGCTACCTGGGGCCTGACTGACAGGGTGGAAAGTTCAGATTGTCCCAGATCTGGAGCTAATTTCTCCTGCGAAGACTTGTCTTAGAAGCATGGTTTCAGAAATGTTTACTAAAACTACTCAGCCCTGGACAAACACAACTGCTCTGTTCTTTTCAAATGCAGAAGTACTTTGAATATGTGCTACAAAATTGTATGCCAGTTCCCTGGAGATACATGGCAAAATGTCCCTTTCTGGAAGATTATCACTCCATTACTTTCTTTAAAGCTAGTCTTTTTTAAAAATAATTTTTTATTTTTTAACAAGAGGGGTGACAAAAAGCAAAAGGGGAATTGAGGTTAATGGGGAAAAGGAGAAACAATCACATACTAACATACATTCTATACCTATTGCCATATCAAAATTCCAAGTTACTCTATTTACTCTTTCTGCCTTCTAGGTTTAAGTTCTCATTTCAATATATACTATTCATATGTTGCCTGTTGATTCAGTCCACTTGTAGAATAAGTCCCATCTTTCTGTTGCCTTTTGTAAAGGACAGTCTTTCATTACTTCTGATAAAATGTCCATTTCCGCTGTTTCCTGTATCTTCTCAATAAGATCTTCTTGTTTCGGTATCGTCGGACTTTTTCAATTTTTGGCACAGAGAATTCTTGCTGCAGTAACTATATATATAACTATATATTCCTTTGACTTATCTATGTTATCAGGTATCATACTCAATAAGAACAGTTCTGGGGTTAATGGCACCTTACAAAGCAATATTTGTTACAACACAGCATGTACTCTTTTCCAATACTGTTTCACTACTCTACATGACCACCACA